CGACCTGTTGGACTCTAGACTACACCTTTTCAATAATCTGTTTTATGTTCTTTTAGGTGTAACTATTACCCTTCCAGATGGCATTCATTGCACAATTTTTTCAAATAAAAAAATTAATTTAGTCATTAAATAATTATTTTAACACAATTTTAAAATTTCACATACCAAGATTAAATATTGATCAGTAACTTCCAGGCACTAATCTAAGCATTTTATATAACATGTGTACTCCTCATAATAGTACTGTAAGTTAGATGTGCCTTCCTTACATTTGAGAAAACTGAGACTTATGTGTGAAGCTGGGATATGAACCCAGGCAGTCTAGCTCCAGAATCTGTGCTCTTTCCTACTCTCTGGCTTTCTCTGTGTGATTGATCTCTTATGGCTCTAATCATAAAAACATGGTGATTTGCTGAAAAATCCTGTTACAAATTTTAGACATTGTTTCTAATGAAGTAAGAGGTTTGACTGGTTCTTACTTGGCCTAATTATAAGAATCAACCAAGACTCTTATTAAAATAGATTTCTAGACTCTGTTCCTAATAAATAAATTCAGAGCTCTGTGTGAAGAACCCTGGGAATCTCTTTCACAGTGAATGGCCTAGATGAATCCTGTGGTCCAGACAAGTTAGGGACACCCTAGTCTAGGTTCAGTCTCTTTTAGAACTAAAAATATTTTTGTTTCTCCTTTTCTTTCACACGTATTATAGATTATTACCCTATCTATATAATATATACTTTATCACAAGCACTGAGGTTTTGAGTATAAAATAAAGCAGACTGTTAAATATTAACTCCCTTTTCCCTTTGATTCCCATGTTTAAATGGATATATGAGGTGTTCTACAGCTCTGTAGTCACAGGCTGTTGGCCTACTAATTGAATAAGAGGGTATAGCCATGAAGACCAGTCCATAGTTAGCATAGATTTTAGTGCTGTTGTCCTTGGGAGTCTTCTAATAACACCATTGGGTTAAATATGAAATGCTTTGTGATAATATTGAGCAAACAAAATCTAAAAATTCTAAAACTCTGCATTCTCGTGGTTAACATATATTTGCTTTCATGCGTGTTTTTTCTATCTGAGAGTTTAAAATTCGTAAGATACTCATTTTATCATTGACTGAGACCTTGATTTTCAGCCATGTGGTTGGTTTAAATGAAACTGTTATATGTCTTACTGACATTTAGACACTCACTGTTGTCCTAGGGGAATCCACCTTTGGAGTGACAGGTGGGAAGTTTTGAGGGCTCACATGTTGGCTCACTTTGCCTACATGGGTCCTTCAGTAAGAGAGACTGGGCAAGGCAAGGCACTTCTTGGTATACTTTTAAAATTTGTACATCATCTGCTTCTTAGTGGCAGAGATTGTTACCATAAAGACTTTAAAAGTGCCATAGCAAGTTAACCCATGCTTCATCTTGTCTCCACACCGCTATTTAGGAACTTACTTTGGAAACATAGTCAGGTTACCCCCAAAATGTCATACTAGTTCCCAGTGTTTTCTTAACTTCAGCGTAATATATTGAGTTGGCCAAAAAGTTCGTTTGGATTTGTCATAAGGAAAAACCCGAATGAACTTTTTGGCCAACCCAGTAATATCACTAGCTTCATTCCTTTGTTCTCTTACCTCAGAAACGTCATCCCAAGATTAAAGTCATAAGAACAGTTGTTTATTCCCTAAATAATCCGGGCACTACCTTTGCTCATGGAATTCCTTTTGCCTAGAAGGTGCCTTCCTCCCACTTCTCCTTCCTGTCACATCTAAATTGACAACTTTATGAAAACTGTGAGTTCTGCCTCCCTCTCCTTTTAGCATCCATGGCATACTAAGTCTGTCTTTTGCCTAATGTGTTGATTTATAAATATACTGTGTATGATTGTTTGTCCTCATATTATTGTCTTCAGTTTTTTTATTGTAATATTTCAAGTATATTTTCATTTCTATCCCCTATGGCAAGCTGTTTTCTGAAATTCCATCCCATTTTAGGTTTCATCTTTGCCAGATGGGTTTATGGTTGGATTATATTCTTCTGTGTAACCTCAAATACACCCAGCCCTCAGTCAGCCTCTTCCTTGTGATTTTCTTCCAAGCCAGATCTGCCTTTTAATAACCCCTGCCTTTTTGTGTAGTCTTTTATCCAAACAACTAAAACCAGTACTTGAGTCCTGAAACCAGATTGATCCTGACTGATCCTGAAAAGTCAAAGGGAAGTTTGATTCCCAGCTTCTCTAGCTCTGAAATCATTTCTGACCCTGTTCCTAAAATGTATTTAAAACAGCATCTTCTGTCTTCTACAGTTTTACACATTTTGCTAGTGATTTATTATTTTTTTAACAAACTGAATTTTTTTTAATAGAAGTGTGGTTGTTTACAACGTTGTATTAATTTCTGCTGTACAGCAAAGTGGTTTAGTTTTATATATGTGTGTGTGTGTGTGTGTGTGTGTGTGTGTGTGTGTATATATATTTGGCAGCACTGCGTGGCATGTGGGATCTTAGTTCCCCAATCAGGGATCGAAGCTGCGCCCCCTGCAGCGGAAGTGCGGAGTCTTAACCTCTGGACCACCAGGGAAGTCCTAGTTATACATATATATACATTCTTTTTTATAGTCTTTTTCACTATGGTTTATCTCAAGGTATTTAAAATAGTTCTCTGTGCTATACAATAAGACTTTGTTGTTTATCCATTCTATATGTATTAGTTTGCATCTGCTAACCGGAAACTACAGAAGAGCCTCTGTCTCTCTCAATTCTTCTTCTGTTCCAACTGCTACCCTTTGAAAATGGGAAGGAACAAAAAATTTTACTGTTACAGAAAAATCATAAGGGCAGGGGGAAAACCGCGACTTGGTTATTCGTTGTCAGATCAGATTAATAGAGCTGTTGGTTTTCTTAGACTCCAGTATCTCACAAAATAAAAATTCTGGAGCTGTGATTTCAGAAGCAAAATACTGTTGGCTTAGTATTTATTCTTAGCAACCCTAACTCTAACCCTTTATTGTTTGCAGAAAAGTAGTATATTGCCTTTTTCTAGATGAAACTACCAAACTAGCCATAAATTATAAACTAGTCTAATCTAACTGCCAAAGCAGTTAGTAGCATTGGAAGTGAAAGTTCATTTGCTGACTGAAGAGTGGAATAATACTCCACAGAACCAAGGCTCTGTGTGTGGGGAAAACTGTGCTGACTGAGCCCCAAGAATCTCATTTTCAAAAGAGAAAGGGGAAAGTGGGTAAGAAGATGTGAAAAGAGACCAGAAAGAAGATAGTACAGTGTAAGATAGTGAGGGGAAACTTGAGATTTTCTGCTTTTACAAACCCCTAGCCCAACCACTTAAAAATAGCTTTATAATACCAGCTTCTCTAGGCCCTAGTTTTCTTATTTGTGGGGTGGAGATAATAGTGCCTCCTGCACAGGGTTGTTAAGAGTCCTAAATGGCATAATATGTGTGAAGTACCTAATACCATGCTTCCTGTCTTGTTCTTATTTTTTATTTATTTATTTTTATAGTATTGTTTTATCATTTTTTGTTTGTTTTCCCACATGGGAGCATAGTGGAGTCTATAAATCTTCCTATACTTATATATAAATAATATAAGGAAGTACTTATAAGTACTTAATTATATACTTATACTTATTTATAAGTATAAGTAAGTATATAAATCTCTCTATACTGCAGAGTTTTAGGCAGTATTTTCCTGTGAAAAAGACCTTATTTTGAAGCCCTGCTTGGAAAACTTGTTCAGTTAGATCAGTGCCTTCAGAGATGAAGTATATAGGACACAGAGGGCAAAAGGGAGGAACAGGTTCTGTTCAAGAGCTAGCAGCAAAATCTAAATTATATGCTCTCCGTTTTTGCCATGATCTAAATTTTTACTTGCTCCTCCCCGGCATACATACACACACACAGCTGTCCTAGCTTTGACTTGCAACCATAGTCTAAAGCATTGTTTTGTTTCTAAATAAGTTAAACACACAAGAATTGCTGGAGCCAAACTGACAGAGAAATCCTTTGAAAATGATACTTAAGGGGTTTGCCTTACAACTATAAAGTTGATGTTGTTTTATGTTTGTTAAATAAGTTATCAAATTTTACATATATCTTTAATCTTTTTTATGCTGGCTTTTAATTTATGTGGGTTCTGATAAGTTACAGTACTTTAACCTAGTAACTTGTAAAATAGCAAGGAAGTATGAATTAAGAGAAATTAAATATGCTATTATTTATCATACTTTAAATATTAGTAGTTCCAAGTGAGAGAACTTAGCAAATAATTCCAAGTAGTGACAGCAAACTATAGGGAAATCACAAATTGTGATAATTCACTATATCATTAGCATCATAAGTATGAGTTTAGAAAAGGTATAAGAAAAGTTCAATTATGTTAATATGAATGAAATATTTCACTGTATTATCTTCAAGTTAAAATCAAGGAATGAAGTGTCTTTTTTCTTCTTCAGCACTACAGTGAAACCGTTTTTTGTATGGTGTAGTGACTAAATCCATAAATACTTTTCTGCTTATATACTCAAAAGTTTCAAAAGCAGCCATATATGTGATGCTGTTTATGAGTGTCTAGGTAGTGTTTATAGAAATAGTGTGCTTTCCTGCCTTACTTAGAATCATAGAGTTCACATCTGGAATTCAGACCCCTTATTTCAAGGATGAGACATTGACTTCCAAAGAGGTTAATTGACTTGCCCAAATAAGAGCCAAAATTAGCAACTTACATTTAAACAAGGTGTCAGGTTATTATATTTTGATATTCAGATATCAATTATTCTCAACTTTAAACGATCTGATATTGTCATTGTCAGACCTGCTGGGCATTGGCCTTATTTTTAAAATCTGAGAATATCTGAGAAATTGATAAAAAAAATGTGGTTACAGATATTAGAACAGAATCTCTTGGCATTACTTCTATTGATACATCTTTCATGCTAAAAATTTTCAATGTTCAGTTGCTGGTCACAAATAATTTTCCCCCCACAATATAGGTATTGTCTTCTGAGAACTCTGAAGCAGTGTCAGACATTGAGGGAAGCTCTCATTGCTGCAGGAAAAGAGATTATCTGGCATGGGCGGACAAAAGAAGAACCAGCGCATTACTGTAGCATTTGTGAGGTAAGTAACTGTTCTTATCCACAGTTATTTTATAAACCTCTTACCTCTCCAGTTTTGGTTTCTCTTTAGTTTTTTGTTTTGTTTTTATTTATTTATTTAATTTATTTATCTTTGGCTGTGTTGGGTCTTCGTTGCTGTGTGTGGGCTTTCTCTAGTTGCGGTGAGCGGGGGCTACTCTTCATTCCGGTTCGCAGGCTTCTCTTGCGGTGGCTGCGGAGCACAGGCTCTAGGTGTGCAGGCTTCAGTAGTTGTGGCTCACGGGCTTAGTTGCTCTGCAACATGTGGGGTCTTCCCAGACTAGGGCTCAAACCTGTGTCCCCCGCACTGGCAGGTGGATTCTTAACCATTGCACCACCAGGGAAGCCCTCTTTAGTTATTTTTAATTTTATTTTATTATTATTTTTTATTTATTTATTTATTTATTTATTTATTTATTTATTTATTTATTTATTTATTTTTATTTTTGCGGTACGCGGGCCTCTCACTGTTGTGGCCTCTCCCGTTGCGGAGCGCAGGCTCAGCAGCCATGGCTCACGGGCCCAGCCGCTCTGCGGCATGTGGGATCTTCCTGGACCGGGGCACGAACCCGTGTCCTCTGCATCGGCAGGCGGACTGTCAACCACTGTGCCACCAGGGAAGCCCCATAGTTATTTTTTTAAATGTACTTTTATGTAATGCATGTTACTGAAATTGTTGTGTTCAGTCTTGTTACTTAACTACTATATTAAAATTTAATCTGGTGATACGCCATTTCACTAACTGTGAATTAACTCTAAAAGTATCTACTAGTGTCATTTATCTGGTAGGTAACAGTTGGCCCTCTCTCTCTATCCACAGGTTCCTATCTGTGGATTCAACCAACCACAGATCGAAAATATTCAGGGGGTGGGGTGGGGAGTATTCCAGAAAGTTCCAAAAAGCAAAACTTAAATTTGCCATGCACCAGTAATTATTTCCATTGTTTTAGGTATTAATAGGTTATCTAGAGATGATTTAAACTATAGGGGAGGATGTGCATAGGTTATATGCAGTTGCTACGCCACTTTTTGTAAGGGACTGGAGCATCCTTGGATTTTGGTATCCATGGAGGGTCCTGGAACCAATCCCCCATGGATACCGATACAGATGATAAGCGTCAAGTTTAGTCTTGAGATTTTAAACTGGGAACAGTCCAGATGTATACAGATGCCAGTAAAGTGGATATAGTTCAGTATAGCTCCAGGCAGATCATTGTTCAGTCCTCTCTGGTACAATTCACAGTACATGGGTCAATCTTCTCCTGTGGCCAAGGCTTGCAAGAGATGCAGAAACAAAGATATGGTACCTGCTCTGAAGGAGCTTACATCCTACTTGGGGAAGACAAATTACAAATAGTTGTAATGTTATATGAGACTGTGGTGGATGCAAAGTTGGTCTTGGTCTTACTGTTAGGATAACACTAAGGGAGAAAATGACCTAATTTTTTCCTTCTAGTATTGGCCTAAGAGTTCACCAAAGTATTAACATTTGAGTCCATCCTTGAAGGATGAGTATGACTTTAGCAGACTAAAAAATGATGACAGTTGGAAGTAGAATGAATGTTGTTATGAGCTATAGGAACAACATGGGAAATGGAATGGTTTCTTCAGAAAACGGTAAATAGTCCAATGTGGCTGGAACACAGACTATGTAAATTCTACATATAAGCCTAGTTGGTAGGAAGTTTGCAGAGCATCTTGAATGATTTTAAGGAATTTGATATCTATTCGGAGGTCATAGAGCCATCAAAAGTTTTTGGGCAGGCACCCAAGTTGGAAAAGTGATTGGAGAGGATGGAGATAAGAAGCTCTTGCAGTGGTGTTAAGAGTTGTTATCCTAAGGCCTAGACTAGAACCTGGCAGTGGGAATATTAAAGAAGGAGAGGAGTACAAAAATATTTCGAAGGTAAAATTCACCAGACAACTCATTAAATGGCAGAAGTGAGGGACAGGTTGAAGGATGTTCACAAATGTTGTAGCTCAGATTATGAGGTTCATGTTGTTGCTCATTGATAGTATTGGAAAACATGGGTGACTCTGGGATTTTAATTAACATAACTTCAAAGAAGACATGAAGTCATGAGAATTTTCTTTCATTGAATACATTCAAGGATATGCCAAAGCCAGGGATATTAATGATCCACTCCAGACCTTGAAATTCTGTAATTCTGATGTTGACTTTTATTTGAGATGATTCAGTCTATCTGTCAGCTATTTTAATGCTGTATAACCTGGCTAAAGTATGCCATTGGGAGACCAGATAGATTCTAGTTAGGTGTGTTATACCTCAGAAAAATGAATGTATAAGCTTTCCAGTATTTGAGAATGACTTTTATTCTGTACTGTTATTCCTTATCCTGCTTGAGCCTTAGCAACTCATCAGTCTCTCTAACACAGAGGTATTATTTCTAAAATCATGCTATACTCATGACTATACTTTTTGATTGTACTCATACTCCTTAACATGAGGCTTATAGCTGAACACTCACTTACTGTCACTTACCTGTCAGTTTCCTCATCTGTAAAATAATCAGATTATATTCATTCAACAAGTTTGTTTTGAGGTTTGGCTAAGCACTAAGCACTGTGAAATGATATGCTCTGGAGTTACAAAGATGAGTAAAACAATAGTCTTCATCTTTGAGGAGCTCAGTCTATTGGGGAAGACAAATATCCATATACAGTGCCCTGTGATACGTACTATCATTGAGAAGTAAAAGGAAAATAATGATCACTTTCATCTGATTGTATACTAATGTTTTGAATTTAAAACAAATAAATAGGCTGACTTTTATCAAACTTTTGAATTAGGCTTTTGCCAGTGGTTGTAATGAATATGTCATTCCCCAAGGTCACTCCCCTAAATAGACATTACCACCCATGTCTTTGGGTCTGGTGCAAAATAAACCTGATCTATTAAAGATTCTTAAACACTCTTAACTCTTAGTACCCACTCTTAACCAGTGATCACTGTCCACAACTCCATGTGAAGTAGAACTCTATGATTATACTAAAGTAGTACAATAAATAAATACTACTGTCTCTATTGAATGCTTTTTCTCTTGTATAAATAGGTGGAGGTTTTTGATCTGCTTTTTGTCACTAATGAGAGCAATTCTCAAAAGACCTACATAGTGCATTGCCAAGATTGTGCACGAAAAACAAGTGGAAACCTGGAAAATTTTGTGGTGCTAGAACAGTACAAAATGGAGGACCTGATGCAAGTCTATGACCAATTTACATTAGTAAGTGAAATCAACATGTGTGTATATAGTTAGCTGGATAGGGAAGCAGCAGTGTTTGTTCTGCCACCTGATAAGGAGGAGGTAATGAAATATTTAAAATTTCCTTTGGCTCGTCAGATATTGCATGAGTAAACATATCACTCCCCCTCCTCCACTTCCAGGTATTTATTCCTATGAAGTTGGCATATTTCATTTTCACTGTTCTTGCTGGGTGAGACCAGCCCTAAATAATGTCACAGTAATTACATTTAAAAATCTGTGTGCTTTTAGAACACTGTCACATCCTTTATGTCATTTGATCTCAGTTGATAAAATGTTTGTGTATATAGGTTATTAGTGTCCACAATATGAATCAGTATGTATGCTTTTAAATATACTTCTGCTTTTAGAGCTAATTGTATTTATTTAAAATCTTGTCCTTGCCAGAAGTATTAACTTTATGGGAATATTTGATGGAGCTTAACTTCCTGCAATGTTATATAACCTTATGAAATTCAAGTATCTTTATAAATTGCATACAGTTTTTAATTTTAAACAGCACATGCTTAGGGGGAAGCATTTTACTCTAGCACATCAGTAGTTTTATGAATAGAAGAGAATTGTTGAATTCCCTCAGTACTTTTTCTCTTACATATGTGATCAGAAACTGAACTTTTGAAATTTAGCTCCTGATACTTTCACTTGAATGGTCTTCAGGATTGCTTGAAGAAGAAGAAAATTATCTGGAATATGTTAAACAAAATTTATTATCTAGTTGAGTTAGCTTCTGAAGCAAGTCACTAATGAAATCATAATTGATTTGTTATATTATTTTCCACAAGCCTTCTTTATATTTTTAAGCAATCTCAAAAAATGGTCAACCTAATAACATTCTAAGAGTTTTTGACTAATTGGTGAACAAGTACCGAAAAATGTGGATGTGCTGAGTTGGGTAATGGTCTCAGACTCTTAGGAAAATTGGCCAGGTGGGAGACAGTAAGGGAGGTTGGTTGTGCTTGACAGAGTGTGGCAGGCCGTTGAACTTTCTTGAGAATTGTTATTTCCTTTACTTTCATACACAGGCTGTGTTTGTAACTTGGAGCTAGGGAACACTGTTAACAATTTGTATACCAAAGTAACATACTTTACTTTTATTTTCAGGCTCCTCCATTACCATCCTCCTCATCTTGATATTGTTCCATGGACATTAAATGAGAACTTTTCTGCTATTCAGGAACTAACCCAGTTCTGCACCACTGGTTTTTGTAGCTATCTCGTAAGGCTGCTGGCTGAAAACTGTGTCTATGCAACCTTCCAAGTGCGGAGTGTCAACCAACTGGACAGGGGAGAGCATTGCTCCTACTCCAGGACTCTCACAAAGCTGATCAGCTGTACTTCAGAAAAAAAAAAAAAAAATTTCCATGTTTTGTATATATCTGACAAAACTGGCAACATCATACAGACTACTGACTTGAAGACAACCTCTTTTATATTTCTCTATTTCTGGGCTGATGAATTGGTTTTCATCTATCTTTTCCCCCTTCAGAATTTTCCTTGGAAAAAAATACTAGCCTAGCTGGTCATTTCTTTGTAAGGTAGTTAGCAATTTTAAGTCTTTCTTTGGTCAACTTTTTTTTAATGTGAAAAGTTAGGTAAGGAACTTTTTTACTGCTTTTATGTTTTTCTGTCTTGTTTTGAAACCATGACGGTTATTACACTTTTGGTTCCTAAATAAAAAGTTTAAAAAATTAACAGCCAAGTCACAAAGATAATGGATTGCACATAGACTAAGGAATAAACCAGATTTGTGATTTTTGTTTCTAATCTTGATGTAAATTTACACTATTTATAAATACATATTTATTGCTTGAAAATATTTGTGAATGGAATGCTGTTATTTTTTCCAGATTTACCTGCCATTGAAATTTTAAGGAGTTCTGTAATTTCAAACACTACTCCTATTACATTTTCTATGTGTAAATAAAACTGCTTAGCATTGTACAGAAACTTTTATTAAAATTGTTTAATGTTTAAAGAGGTTTCTATTGTTTGAGTTTTAAAAAGACTTTATGTACAGTGCCCAGTTTTTGTTCATTTTTCAAATCTGATTATATATATTTTATATATACTTGTATATGTATATATAATATATATAGAAATCTGGATATATATGTATAAAGATTTAGAGCTTAAATTTTTCTCGTTTTAAGTTTCACATCTATGGTAGATTTTTGAGGTGTCTACTGTAAAGTATTGCTTACAAAAGTATGATTATTTTTAAAGAAATATATATGGTATGTATCTTCAAGACCTAAAATGTCAGACTGGTTTATTGTTAAGTTGCAATTACTGCAATGCAGACCAATAAACAGTTGCTGCCAAAATGTAGTATATAATAGTAGAAAACAAATAGTGATTGAACTTAAGATTTCAAAGGGAATGTTCTATGGGCTTGACAAATCCTGTACATCACTTAGTAGTGTTTTATATGGAAAAAAGATTCAGATGAAGGGCTCTATTTTAGAATGCAAATAAATTAAGAGACTTATTTTTTAATGTTAGGCAGTTTTGACATTTCATGCTTTCCTGCTTGCATGACATGATTTGGGCAGGGGAAGGAGTCTTCCAATTCCACATCACTAATAAAATATAGTAAGCTATATTAGCATTAACACGTCACTTCTAATTACCAATAGTATTTCATTTTATAATAATGGTACCTTGTATTTGGCACATATTCTCATTTTATCATGCTGTTCTCTCTAAGGTTTTTCCAGGAATATTCAATGAAGGCGCATAGAGAATGCTGTAAAGGAAGTTATATATAACTAAAGAGAATTTATAATCCTAACTGGTGAAATGCTGTGCTGACTGCATTAACAAGTGCTCTTTTTCAGATAGTTGTGGAGTATGTTGTCCTCCTAGAAACCGTTTGAAGGCTTTAAAAGCACAGAGATATTTTATCCAATTAGTTAATAATTTGGTAAATAATTGAATTTGAATATCTACTAGCAGCAATCATCTCTTAAAATTTCAGAAGGAAATAATTACAAATTTTAGTTAAGAAGCAAGAGTGCTTGTCTAAGTGCTGCTTAAGATGTTTAACCACTGATTTTTTAAAAGAACTCAAGACGGGCTTCCCTGGTGGCGCAGTGGCTGAGAGTCCGCCTGCCGATGCAGGGGACACGGATTCATGCCCCGGTCCGGGAAGATCCCACGTGCCGCGGAGCGGCTGGGCCCGTGAGCCATGGCCGCTGAGCCTGCGCTCCGCAACGGGAGAGGCCACAACAGTGAGAGGCCCGCATATCGCCAATGAAAAAAGAAAAAAAAAAAAACAAGACAAAACATTTTTGCAAATAAAAATTGCAAGTCAAAGAAATTAACACAACGTTGTAAATCAACTATAATTTAAAAAAAAAAAAAGTACGTCAACTATCCAGAAGCAAAGATTATAAGAATGCTAAAGCTATGCCTAAATGTTCCTTAACCATTCCTAGTTTATCTTACTAACACGGTGTCTCATTTTTTCTATGGTTTTATTAAGATGGTTTATTGCCAAGATTAACATAAGTTGTCTGACATTTAAGAGTAATTTAGTGGTGTTTCACTAATACAATATTTGGAAGTTAAAGGTTCAGAGTAATACTTGCTCACTTAGTGTTTGAATGGGTAGAGGATAGGAGACAAGTCAAACCTATCAACATTAGTCTGAGGTGTAACTGGATGAACAGAGTCTTATGTAAACTGCTTTCTTTTCTTCAATTTAACTGCTTTAATAACTTACATTTTTCAGGTTGCAGAAGAAATAGCATGCTTTTTTTCTCTCTTTTCTTTTTACTGCTTATATAGGTAAGTCCAGCTAAGCACACACTATCTGGGTGCCTTAATAATGAAATGAGTTTGCATCATTTGCACACACACACATTGTTTAGAGAAAGAAACTAATTATATGACATATTAAAAAAAGATGTTGATCCAGAAAGTGAGAACTAAATCATATTCTTTTCTCGTTGTCACCAGCTAAATAGGAACTCTTACACCATCAGTATAGCAGTTTAACTTGTTTAACCCATTTAAGTTAAATCAATTAAATTTTGGCTTCTGTATTTTGAACTAAAATCTAAGTCACTTTTCCAAAGTAGTATTTGACAGTTGGGACTCTCAAATTACTAGTAATAGGCAACTGAAATAAAAGATCACATAATATTATGAAATTACATTAAATGAAGTGTCTGCTTCTCAGAACTTAAATCTTTAAATTATCATGTGTATTTTCATTTAGTCAATATATTTATTTAGTATCTCCTAAAAAACGAATCTGAATAAGATGTGATCCCTGCCTTTTACTCTTCATACATGCACCTCATATGGGAGATTCATGTAATATGTCAAGCAGAACCTAGAAGAGATAACAAGAAAGGTGAATAGTATTGATTGGGACTTGCATTTCAGCAGGGTTTGTATCACACCTAGAGCAAGAGGATTTGGGAACTTTGACTAAGGGATTAGAGGAGTGTACTGGAGAGTGGAAGCCCCCGATGTTGAAAAGCCTCCTCTGCCATGAGAGATGTTTACACTTTACCCTGTAGTTAATGTGGAACCATGCACAGAATTAAGCAAAAGAACAGCATTGAATTTGCAGTAGTCTTCGTGCCTGCTTTATCTTCCACATTGCTGCTAGAGGGGCATTTCTAAAACAGAAATTCAAGGAAGAGGTGATTTGGACTTCGACTTTGGATGTTGTGAGGATGGAAATAGGAGCGCAGATTTGGAAGACAAAAGTAAAGTCCACAGGACCCATTAGATGTCTACCGGTGGGTGGAGGCCCTTCTAACTAGAATGGAAAATCAGAGTAGAACTGCTTGTAACGCATCTAAGTAGTTGGAATTAGGAGAGGCCTGAACCGGAACCATGTATCTGGCTGTCCATCATCGAGGTGGTGCTTAGAGCCAGAGGAGGTAAGATCATACAGGAACTGTATGGTGAGGAGAGGTCGATCAAATACCCACTTAAGAACGTCAGCATGTAAGGGGAGAGGAGATTGCAAAGGAGAAGAAAGCTAAAAGAAACCAGCCAGGGTGATCTTAGACACGCTAAAGTTTTTCAAAAGTAACCATTCCATGTTGCAAAGATGAGGATTAAATGGATTTCTTTGGATTTGGCACAAGATAGTTGGTGACATTTGCCAGAGCACCTTCAGTGGAGCAACAACCGGATGGATTGCAGTGGATGGGAAGAGGTGCTGAATTTGAGGGGGTGGTGGAGTCACTTCGGTCTTCCAAGAGCACCAGGGATGCAGTTACATTGGTCTTTGTGAAACAGCAAACAGTCATCAATTTTAAACATTTTGTATCATTGTCTTGAGTGCTTTACACAGTAATTAATACTTTTGTATATATACCATGAAGCAACCCATGTGGTATTTTGGTTTGGAAAGGAAGAAATACTTTTCAGTTGAACAGGGAAATGAGGATGGTATTTTTTTAGTATGGCCTAAAGATACCTACCCTTTACTGAATACTGTTGCAAAGCATAGTGCTAAGTACTTTAAATATATTCTCTTTAGTCCTCACAATGACCCTCTGATGTACTGTTTTAGCCTCATCTTACACATACGTAAATTGAGGCAAAGAGAGGAAAATGTAACTTGCCCAAGGTTTGTGGTTATTAAGTATTGAAGGTAAGATTCCAACTATGTTGATCCGACTCCAGAGCAAGTGCTATTCTACCTCCTACTGCAGAGAAATAGGAATTGCTGAGTGCTTACTCTGTAGTCACGTTTGAAAGAAACTTCATTTTGAATATTTCTTTAACAAGAGAAAAATGTTTGTTTTAAAATGTATAACATATAATTAGGCTGACATTTTTATAGTCCAAACCAGAACCCCTTTGAGATCGAAAAGGGACAATGCTATTAGTTGGGCAGGACAACAGCCAAGAAATGGGGCTATCCTGGGCAAGCTGGGATGTACGTCATAGTGGTTAAGTTTGTGTTAAGAAGAAGCATTTGGGTGCTGGAGAGGGTGTGGAGAAAAAGGAACCCTCTTGCACTGTTGGTGGGAATGTAAATTGGTACGGCCACTATGGAGAACAGTATGGAGCTTCCTTAAAAAACTAAAAATAGAATTACCATATGACCCAGCAATCCCACTACTGGGCATATATCCAGAGAAAACCATAATTCAAAAAGACGCATGCACCCCAATGTTCATTGCAGCTCTATTTACAATAGCCAGGTCATGGAAGCAACCTAAGTGTCCATAGATGAATGGATAAAGATGTGGTACATATATACAATGGAATATTACTCAGCCATAAAAAGGAACGAAATTAAGTCATTTGTAGAGACGTGGATGGATCTAGAGACTGTCCTACAGAGTGAAGTAAGTCAGAAAGAGAAAAGCAAATATCGTATATTAACGCATATATGTGGAACCTAGAAAAATGGTACAAATGAACCGGTTTGCAGGGCAGAAATAGAGACACAGATGTAGAGGTCAAACGTATGGACACCAAGGGGGAAAGAGGCGGGGGGATGGATTGGAAGATGGGGTTGACATATATACACTAATATGTATGAAATAGATAATAAAAAAAAAGGGAACACTGCTACAGATCCTACAGACAGTGAAAGGGTAATAAAGAACTATCACAAACAAAGCATTTGAGGAGTAGTATTTACCTCCTCCTAACATCATATTCCTAGATTTTTGCGCTCTTAGAATGGGAAGGAAGCATGGGTTTAGGTTGCATTAGGACCCTCAATTGTGGTTGAAAAAGACTGAAAATGCAAGCAATGAATTAAAGTGGAAATGAGAAAGGAAAAGGAAATTCCTGTTAAGTCTTAGTGATGTCTACTGAGTTGTACCCATCCTAAAACCAAATAATGGCACTTCAACAAACTAACAAGAAAGCGAGTAATATTCTCAATATAAAGATTAATATGCATTTTTCTAAACTCTTGGTCTGACTACCACTTACCAATCTAGTTTAAGGTGGGAA